AACCCAGAATTTCACATCCAGCCAAACTAAGCTTCACAAGTGAAGGAAAAATAAAGTTTTTTGTGAATAAGCAAGCACTCAGAGATTTCATCACCACCAGGCCTGCTTTACAAGAGCTTCTGAAAGAACCACTACACATAGAAAGGAACAAACAGTATCAGCCTTTCTAAAAAAATTATCAAAAAGAGCATCAATATAATGAAGAATTTACATCAACTAATGGACAAAATAGCCAGCTAATATTAAATGGCAGTATTAAACTCACATATATTATTATTAATTCTAAATTTAAATTGACTAAATCTAAATCCCCCAATCCAAAGACAGACAGGCAATTTGAATAAAAAACTAAAACCCATCAGTATGCTGCATCCAGACCCATCTCACATTCAAGGATACACAAAGACTCAAAACAAGGGTGGAGAAAGATTTACCAACCAAACAGAGAGCTAAAATAAATAAATAAAAAGCAGAAGTTACAATTAAGCAACAAAGATCAAAAGAAGCAAAGAAGGACATTATATAATGATAAAAGGATCAATGCAACAACAAGAAGAGCTAAAGATCCTAAATATATACGCACCCAATACAGGAATACGCAGACATACAAGACTTATAAAGAGACTTAGACTCCCACATAATAATAGTGGGAGACTTCAACATTAATATTAGACAGATCAATGAGACAGAAAATTAACAATGATATCCAGGACTTGAACTCAGATCTGGAACAAGTAAATGTAATTAACATTTATAGAACTCTCCACTTTAAATATACAAAATATACACTCTTATCAGTACCACATCATATCAACTTAGAAGTTTAAACAAAATCTTTGTTGGCTCCTTGTTTGTTATTCTCTTCCTCATTTTCTTTTATATCTCCATTATTAAGGACAATTATAGGCATACCCATATTTAGATTGCATTCTAGCCCGGGCAATAAAGCAATACCCCCATCCTCTCTCCCTCTTCCTCTTTCTCTTTCTTCCTCTTCTTTATTCTTTTTCTTATAAAATAAATAAATAAATAAATAAAGGAAGGAAGGAAGGAAGGAAGACACCAGAGCAGCTGCAGGGATTGGAAAGGGTTACACTGAGGAAGAAAAGTATTATGCCAAAGCAGGGGATTCTAGATCTTAATAATAAGAAGGACTACAGTTTACTGATTCTGGCAGGCACTCTACAAAAAAAAAAAAAAAAAAAAAAAAGAAAAATTCTCTATAAAAATTTAATTTTCCATACTATGTCACGTCAAGGGGAACCATAACATTGCCTGACTTAAAGCAAACCATTCTGGAATAGAAATCACTTTACTGATTGCCTTCACACCGGATGCAAGGTATCCCTGACACCAGGCTTCTCCCTGAATGTGTTTTATCTCCCAGAATCATCTCTATATAGGTCATGGCTTTACCAAGAAGAATGAGGTCAGGTTATATTGATGGAATAACGGATCAAACATTTTACTATATGAGGACTTTTTTTTTTTTTTTCCAAAACAGGGTCTCACTTTGTCACCCAGGCTGGAGTGCAGTAGTGCCATCTTTTTTTTTTTTTTTTTTTTTTGAGACGGAGTTTCGCTCTTGTTACCCAGGCTGGAGTGCAATGGCGAGATCTCGGCTCACCGCAACCTCCGCCTCCTGGGTTCAGGCAATTCTCCTGCCTCAGCCTCCTGAGTAGCTGGGATTACAGGCACGTGCCACCATGCCCAGCTAATTTTTTGCACTTTTAGTAGAGACGGGGTTTCACCATGTTGACTAGGATGGTCTCGATCTCTCGACCTCGTGATCCACCCGCCTCGGCCTCCCAAAGTGCTGGGATTACAGGCTTGAGCCACCGCGCCCGGCAGTAGTGCCATCTTGGCTAATGGCAACCTCTGCCTCCGGGGTTCAAGATTCTCCTGCCTCAGCCTTATTAGTAGCTGTGATTATAGGTGCACGCCACCACACCTGGCTAATTCTTGTATTTTTAGTAGAGATGGGGTTTTGCCATGTTGGCCAGGCTGGTCTTGAACTTCTGACCTCAAGCAATCTGGCCACCTCAGTCTCCCAAAGTGCTGGGATTATAGGCGTGAGCCACCACACCTGGCCTATATGAGGATATTTTCAGAAGATTATTAGTCAAATATCACTTCTACTCTTAAGCAACCATAGCTAGCCAAACTCACTATAAAATGCTTTTCCATCACACTGCTACTTTTAATGACTGATAAATGCAGTTCTACTATGCATCAACCATGCCCTCAAGATGATTTTATTGCAGAAGCACTTAACACAAAAGATGGGGTGATCATTGAGTTCAAGGATAATACCAGGCTTAAGACCAAAGACATCTAATGAAAGCTTCACATGCCTTCTGGAGGAACTGACTCAGACTTTATATCCTTCCAAAGGGCTCATCATCAGTATAAGCTAACCACAATACATAACAGGATAATTAGGAGTAAGCACAAAAATAAGGTCAAATAATAGAAGTAGTGTTGGATTCTACCCAAGAGTAGAGATAGAAGGCACAATCTTGCCACCCTGAAAATGGTGAAGGAGGTTGGTAACTTAGAAATAAGTGAATCAGAATCTACTTGACAATTCAGTCTTGCTTAGGATGTAAACATCCCAACAAGATCTCATATTTTTACTCCCGCACAAATACAAGAGTATAAAAAGGATTGTGTGATCCAGTGATTTTGAGAATTTGGGACTTGTTTATTTTTATATATTTTAAAGAGAGAGGGTCTCACTCTGTTGCACAGGCTGGAGTACAGTGGTGGGATCGTAGCTTACTGCAGTGTGGAACTCCTAGGCTCAAGCAATCCTCCTGCCTCACCCTCCCAAGTAGCTGAGACTACAGGCATGAGACATCACAACGGCCAGAATATGGTACTCTCTTATGTGTACTTGGTGCCTGGCAGCTACTCATACCAGTTGAGGACGATGTCACTGCCTTGAGAAGTCATAACTTGAGGCTTTCTTCATTTAGGGCACTGCAATCCTCAACCAGTGGCCCTTTAAAAGCCCTCCAGGTGATTCTGATGAACTAGCATCCAGGTGAAGAACCTCAGGCCTTGACTGTGGTTTTCAAACAGTGGTCCAGATGGGTAAATTATTTAGGACCGACTGATTTATACTGACTTAGTGACTGGCCCATCTGAATACATGACTGAAGACTCTATAAATAGCTACACTTAATCAGTGTCAACAGAAACCAAGAGAAGACCTTGCAGCCTCACATCCATTTAGGTCATCTCTGGCAACAAGTATGTGAGATTCAGCATGGTGCTGCTGACTGTTTGCCTTTCCAAATTCTTCATCATCAGCAATATTCAAATAGTCTAAAGCCCGTAACTCATGTCTCCATGAATTACACTGTAAGAAGCATTTCTGAAGTTTTGTTATTCATCGTGGGAATTCCACTGTAATGTAGTCTGTAATGTAAAATTGTGAACATGTATCTATATATGAAACATAAATGTTACAACTTCTAAAATACAGGAGTTTCTATTTTTGGACAATTTTATTTGTTCCAGTTGCTTATCAAGCTAATACAAGATATTTTGTTTGCATTTTGGATTATTCAATTTAGGTCAGCTAACAGAACACAAGAAAAAGACTGACATTTGCAAAACAATTTTTGAACACTAAATAATCATCTCCAAATTAAAACTCTTAGAGATTATACAGCCCAATTCTCTCATTTTGCAGATGGAAAACTGCAGCACAGGGTGAAAATGCAAATTCCCCCAAGACTACGTGCCTTCTTTTCATCAAATCTGTGCTGAACCAGATTTTCCTTAACCCAATTTAGCTGTATTTAGTGTATAGGGTGCAGATACAAGTTGGTCTAACTAAGACACACAGTACCTAGCTCAGTTCCATACCGACAGTGGATACTTGATTAAATGCTTTCTAATGGCTAGGCCCCACTGGATTATAGGCCCAGAAAAACTGAGCCAGGCATAAGGTAGGGAGTTAGGATTGTTGGTTGAGGATTCTACTCCTCACACCCCAATGCCTGACAGGAGGGGAAGGGGAGAGGCAGTCAGTCACCGGCCGTGCAGAGGGAGCAGTGAGGGTGTCGGCCATGCACTAAATCCTTCTGTAGGGTGCCTGGCGAAGTCTCAATCCAGCCAAAGCCTTGGGGCTGAGGGTCAAAGCAAGTAAAAAGAAACAACAAACTGTTGAGGAATCCACATGCAAGACGGCTAGGAACAGTTCTGAGTGCTGAAGATGAAACGGAATACTTTACCGACTCTAGACATGAGCTCATAGCAGGCTAGATGAACAGAAAAGAACTAGTGAGTTGAGGATACTTAAAGCGTTACCCCCCAGAGGTCTGAGAGGACAACTTACCTTTTCTTCTGAGAAAACAGATGACCGAGTGCTAGATGCATCTTGAACAAGGCCGATAAACATGGGGTCAAATTAGGTCATCTCATTTTTTGCACCTGCAGTTGGAGAGCGTGGAAGACCAACTGCATGCACCTGCTATAAAGGGGCTGGGCAATCTTTACAAACTGGTTCCAATTAAGAAAGTGAATATGGGCCGGGTGCGGTGGCTCAAGCCTGTAATCCCAGCACTTTGGGAGGCTGAGACGGGTGGATCACAAGGTCAAGAGATCGAGACCATCCTGGTCAACATGGTGAAACCCTGTCTCTACTAAAAATACAAAAAATTAGCTGGGCATGGTGGCGCGTGCCTGTAATCCCAGCTACTCAGGAGGCTGAGGCAGAAGAATTGCCTGAACCCAGGAGGCGGAGGTTGCGGTGGGCTGAGATCGCGCCACTGCACTCCAGCCTGGGTAACAAGAGCAAAACTCCGTCTCAAAAAAAAAAAAAAAAAGAAAGTGAATATGTCCCTTAGTTTAGCCTTATCACTGTCATGGAGATCAAATTCACACGTGTAAAAATCTATTAAACTCAGGCCTTTGGGCTACCTATGTAGGATTCCTAGAAAAGAGAAACAAACGGTATTTTAAAGGAGAAATGTCTGTCCATTGCTAACCTTTAATCGTGCCACAAAGTGAGTTGCAACGCTGAGTTCAGAGGCCGGGTTCCCAAGGATGATCTCAAACCGATACTGCAGACCCAGTTTGTTGCGCACTTCCTGTAGCCGCTCCTTGGCTAACATCGCCAGCTGTACCGAGGGCACCCTGATAATGAGCATGTGTCCCCTCCCACTTTTGTTTCTGCCTGGGGAGCTGATGAGGTCATCCATAATGCTGAGTGTTTCTGGTGTGCTGTGGTCTCGGAGTGATGCCATGGTGGTGAGAGCCATCAGAGCCTCAGAGTACTGCTGGATGAGAAGATAGCAGCGGACGACCATGCTGTGCAACCTGGGGTACCTTCAACAGAACACAAGGCACTAGCACTCAGGCAGCAGAGCCAGCTGGGAGCAGCAAGGCCTGCGCAGGAAGAATGCAGATTAAGCATAGAGGAGAAGGGGCTACTGATCAGGTGGTGGGGCTTTAGTTCTAGAATGGTCTGGGATCCCACATCACTGGAAGGAAAAGGTTGAGCTTCCAAAGCATGCAAGTCAACCTATTGGGATAAGTACAGCACAGTAAAGGGGTTTAGAGATTGTCTAGTGACTCTCTCTTCTCAAAATGTGATCTATAGACCACCAGCAGCAGGAGCACTAGCAGGACCTTGTTAGAAATCCCGAATCTCCCCACCCCAGACCTACTAATCAGAATCTGAAGCTTAACAAGACTCCCGGGGAATTACATGCACATTAAACTCTGAGATGCACTGGTCTATTCCGTTCATTGCCAGCAGTCATCATGGATAATCCCTGTATCCTCTCGCCTCTTGCTGGTGGCATTGGGTTAGAATGGTAGCACTGTCCACTTACTTCTCTGATATGTAAGATTACAGTAAAGGAAACTGAGGCATTAATGTAATATCTGTTGAGTGTTAGACATAAAAAGGGTAACTATTGCTACTAATCTGAGGTCAGCCTCTCAGATAGCAATCTCTATCTTTCCATAAACTGTTCTTTGGTGCTAAAGAAAACTTGGAGCTGACTGGAGAAACAGCACCCCCTAGTGGTGTAGCCTCATCACCTGAGACGCAAATCTGTGCCTAGTAGCAGCAGCCGATGCTGCCATTCTCCCCGAAGCCTGGACTGCCAGGAAAGAGGATCACTTTGTTCAAATCAGCAGTTTTTACAATTAGAGAGCAGGCAGAAAACAAATCTCTCCTTTTGGTGCTATGCCTCCGCCAGGCCTGATCACAAAATGAGTACAAATGGGCAAAGAATATCTACTTACAAGCATGAAATGTCGCTAGTCAAGAAAGTAGGTCTTGGCTACCCTGAGCACACTGCCCAGCAGTACGTCTGCTGCTGAATAAAATTTTTTAGAAAAGAAAGTAGGCCAGACGCAATGGCTCATGTCTGTAATCCCAGCACTTTGGGAGGCCGAGGTGGGTAGATTACTTGAGGTCAGGAGTTTGAGACCATCCTGGCCAGCATGGTGAAACCCCATCTCTACTAAGAATACAAAATTAGCTGGGTGTGGTGGTGTAGGCCTGTAATCCCAGCTATTTGGGAGGCTGAGGCAAGAGAATCACTTGAATCTGGGAGGTGGAGGTTGCAAAGAGCCAAGATCACTCCACTGTACTGCAGCCTGGGTGACAGAGTGAGACTCTGTCAAGAAAGGCAGGAAAGGAAGGGAGAGAAGAAAGGGAAGAGACAGAGGGAGGGAGAGAAGTAAGGAAGGAAAGAAGGTTCTGACAAAGTGGGCCCTGGGTCCAAGGTTCGTAAGGCTCTCATGGAGCCTGGTAAAATGGGGCTGGGGCCGTGCACTTTCTTTCTGGTTGCCATTTGGTAGCAATGCGGCCGCCAGCAGCTGTGTAGGCTGATGGGGGATTTCACCTTTGTTCCACTTTATAATTCTATTTAAAATACAACAAGTGATCCACTGGCTTTGCACAGAAAAGATCTGGGTCAAATAAATGCCAATGAGCCCATCAAATGAATAACACATGAATATTTTTGAGGTGTTTTAGAGCTGGAAAGGACCAAAGGTGCCCTGTATTCAAACCACTCTGCCTTTTCATAGGAGAATGAGTTCAAAGGCAGAGAGAAATGCAGTTACTTGTCCCAGATCATACAACTGATCAGAGACAGAGCTGGGTCTAGATTTTATCCAGTCTCTAACAATGTCTTCACACACTGCAAGGATTTAGCAGGTTGGGTAGAAATGAAGAAATCCTTCAGTTCAATAAATCCTGGGCTGGTCCCTTCAGTTATTCAGTAAGTCATAGCTACTATTAGGCTGGGGTGACTGGGTTAGAAGAAGTAAGTATATCTATGTTGAGGCTTAATGCTTTTTGCTGGGCCATGTAGAAAAGCCAAAGATAGAATACATGGTAACTTTGATATTTGGCATTTCTATTTCTTTCTTTCTTTCTTTCTTTTTTTTTTTTTTTTGTTTCTGGAGATGGAGTTTCGCTTTTGTTGCCCAGGCTGGAGTGCAACGGCACAATCTCGGCTCACCGCAACCTCTGCCTCCCAGGTTCAAGCGATTGTCCTGCCTGAGCCTTCTGAGTAGCTAGGATTACAGGGGTGAGCCACTGTACCCAGCCATTTCTATTTCATACTCTGAAAGAATCATGAAGTTAGAAGTGCACAGTTTCTCCAATCTGTCATGTTTGCATTAAACTATATTTACAGCTTTTGTAGCACAAAACCATAATAGGAAGTTTATGGGACCATCATTTAAAATAAAAGTTATGAAACTCTGAATGATGTTAATGGAAAAAGAAGACACATTTCAAGCTGGTGGATGTAACAGGTGGGAAGGAACGCTTAAAGGGGGTACTCATGGGATGATTTTGGAAAATTAAGACTACATGTGCTGTGAAAGGATTAATGTCACAGTGTCAGTTAAGACTTCCCAAATGCAACAGCTGCAAAAATATCAAACCCTACTCTAATCCTGCGCTCTTTCCTGATGTAGTATTATAATTTGCTGAATAGGAGGCATCCACAGGTCCTCATTTTAATTTCCTTTTTTCTTAGCAAAATTATGAGGCAGGTTTGTTAAACAGATGTTAAATAATATGATCAATGAAAGCTGTTTTATGAACTATAGCTACTAAAAATTAGAATTTGCCTTATAAAATAAAGCCCATTGCCCCAACATTGGATGATCAAACAGAGTATTGCAGAGGGCAGACAGGGACTTCTATTAGGTTAGGTAAATTCTAATGTCTCTACCTTCTCTTTGAATCTAGGATTCAAGGTCATGGAGGGAAAAAACTCTTTCAGAGTTTAATCTGGAACTGGGGAATTTTTTTTTCCCTTAAAGAAAAGGGAAGAGAAGACAGAAGAGTCATGATCCTTAATCCTTAAAGTCAGGGACTAGAGGAGGCACCCCAAGAACTGAATTTACTTAAATCAGAAGAGTCATGATCCCTAATCCCTAAAGTCAGGGACTAGAAGAGGTACCTCAATAACCAAATTCACTGAAATCGGAAGAGTCATGATCCTTAAACTCTAAGGTCAGGGACTAGAGGAGGTACCCTAAGAACTGAATTCATTTAAATTCTCTGATTGTTCTTTAATTTCTTCCAGAGTACAGTTCAAATCTCTCATAATATAGTTTTTACTGAATCATCTCAGGGTTCTTGCCTGTGGTAGACAGGGGAGAAAAGAGGGAAAATGTGAAAGTCCAAGGTTTAGGGTCAGAGAGGCTGGAGCTCAGAGGAGCAGGTCTTTAATAAGCAAATCCCTCTCTACCCTGTCACTTTCCTGATGATACCAATGACGTATGACTGGGAGCTGACAGCATAGAAAGCAGTGCGATGTCCCATTTTGGTCGTATTTTCCTTTATTGGTCTTGGACGATCACAGAAAACAATAGTAGAGCATCTTAGGAAAGGCTGTTTTAATTTGGCCTTTGCTTGTTATCTGCAAGGGCTGCATCCAACTCCCCGTAGCACTGACACAAAAGGCTCCTGGCTATTTTAGGTCTGCAAGTACAGCGAGAGAGAAGAGCAGAAGGCCTTATTTACTATTTACCTCTCCAAGAGTGTGTTCACCATTTTTTCGAAAGCCTCGTCACATCTCAGAAGCGGGCTCGTGACCCCCCACTGCAAAGACTTGCTGTATTCATTCAAGCCAAAGTACAGCTTCTCCTCGCAGCCCACGTCCTCCTGGTTCAAAATACAGAGCAAAAACCCAATGAGGACAGGATAGAGTGCGTCTCGTTTTCCAAAAGGGGTGGGGGTGGAGGAATCCGTATAAGAGGTTATTTCCTGACAAGTAAGAAAAAAAAAAATGTGTTTCATTATGTAACCCAACACCAACTCTGTAGTCATCTCTGAGGCACTAAGTAAAATTTCAATTCAAAGGAACTGAATATGTGATTAGTGTAAAGTTGCCACACTTCCTTCAGGCACATGGTTTGTTTTCTTTATCTTTTGTTGGAATACACAAGGTCAGACAGCCTCAGTTCTCAGCCTTTTTCCCTGCTGGAAGCAGTTCTCTATACAGATACACAGGCTCTCCTCAGAACTCTCTGGAGATTGACAAACTCCTCTGTTACAGAAACCTTAACTTTTCTGACATTATTCCACACTGGTAACTCATAAAAGCTTATCTTTGCAAACAAATTTTACTTTAAAAATGGAATATATACTTTCCTTAAACAGGATCCACAGTATTTAATGTAGCCCCTTCTTGATGAGTCAGTCATCACTATGAAAATGAACAGCTATTTCAGGACGTGACACAAGGATGCCCTCAGAGGATCTTGAGACAGGTGGTAAGTTGCTTGTCCTTACACTCAGAAGCTCCAGAATATTAAGTAAGCTTTCTGAGTTCATGAATCTGTTTTTATTTAGTTTTCTTTTGCATCTTTTCTACATTAGCTTTTTACAGTCACTTCTTGCTGTCATGTTGCCTGTGCCATTTGGTCTCAATTTTGTTATTTATTATGTATTGACATTTTTATTTAAGCACTCTCCAACTCATATTATAAAGGAAATAAGGCAGCTTTAAAAAATATAAAAATGGCCGGGCGCGGTGGCTCATGCCTGTAATCCCAGCACTTTGGGAGGCCGAGGCGGGTGGATCACGTGGTCAAGAGATCGAGACCATCCTGGTCAACAAGGTGAAACCCCATCTCTACTAAAAATACGAAAAATTAGCTGGGTATGGTGGCGCGTGCCTGTAATCCCAGCTACTCAGGAGGCTGAGGCAGGAGAATTGCCTGAACCCAGGAGGCGGAGATTGCGGTGAGCTGAGATCACGCCATTGCACTACAGCCTGGGTAACAAGAGTGAAACTCTGCCTCAAAAAAACAAAAACAAAAACAAACAAACAAACAAAACAAAACAAAACAAAACAAAAAAAATATAAAAATACATTAAGCAATCAGAGAAAGAAAAAGCAAAGGTAAGAGAAGGAAGATTGGGCCAGGGATAAAGTTAGTATCCCCCAAAGTGCATGCCAGAAGTTTCTGCACATTTTGTTAGAAGTGGGCTACAAATTTGGTAACCTAAATTCTGAGCTTTTTAAAAATTTTTATTTATTTATTTATTTATTTTGAGATGGAGTCTCACTCTGTTGCCCAGGCTATAGTGAAGTGGCATGATCTTGGCTCATTGCAACCTCTACCTCCCAGGTTCAAGTAATTATCCTGCCTCAGCCTCCCAAGTAGCTGGCACTACAGACATGCACCACCACACCCAGCTAATTTTGTATTTTTAGTAGAGACAAGGTTTCACCACATTAGCCAGGCTGGTCTCCAATTCCTGACCTCAAGTGATCCACCCGCTTCAGCCTCCCAAAGTGCTGGGATTACAGACATGAGCCACTGTGCCTGGCTGGTTCTGAGCTTTTTAGTAACCAACTAAAGAGAAACAACTGTACGATTTATAAGGTTCATGAGATAAAAATAAAGCATGTTTTAACTGGCAGATTTTAATTTTTTGAGCCGCCCCCACCAAAGCCCTGCTTTTTGGAATAGGGTTTATTTGAGAGTAAATAGGCTTTATGAGAGCATCAGACTATGTTCTTAGAGATACTGGAGACTGAGAGCATAGATTGCATGACATTTCAAGGCTAGAAGCCTTTACTTGTTTCCATCTGGGCTTAGCTGTGTTCTGGATAACTGTGTCAAATAAGTCATTTCACAGGGAAAAAAGTCATTCATCTAAGTTTCCCTCCTCATCTGGACTGCAGACACAGTCATTTGGAAAAACTTGATGAAATGTGTGCTTGGTCTTCACATTTTCCTCTAACCCTTGGGCCATTTCTTTGGGAAAATAAATCCTACTCCAGCCTGCTGCTCTTCCTGACACAGCATTAGAACTGCTGGATACGATGCATCCACCTTGCATCCACCCACCTGTCCTCGTTTTTATTTCTCTTTCTCTTTCCTTAGCTGGTTGGGAAATAGATGGCCTGTGATTAACTGCAGCCAATATGGGTTTTGAGAACTAGAGCTACTAAAAATTAGAATTAGAAGTGAATATTTTCCGCATCTGTTCTGTTTGCATTAAACTGTAACCATGGTTTTGTATATGTTACAAAAATTTTAATAGAAATGAGTGGAACCATCCTTTAAACCATGAGCTATGAAACTCTGAATGATTTTACTGTAAAGATACATTTTAGGTATTATAAATCGTGTGATGTATTGAATCACTGTTTCTGGGGGAAGAATGTCCCTTCTCATAAGGCAAACTCCCAGCTCTGGAAGGCCTGCCCTTTCAGTGACCCTCCATGCCCCCTGTGCCTTTTGCTGCCGTCTCTGCCTTTGCTTCTGTCCAACGCTCTGCTCTTCAGATGCTGTTCCCTGGAAGGTTACCAAGGACTCTTGAGGCCAATGCTGGTGGTGTTGACTTGTTGGTCCTTGGCCTCACTACCCTCTTGGCAGTTCTTTTTGTTATTTTCTTCTATGATTCTAACCACACCAGCTGCTTCAATAATCATTGTTTATTAAAAAAAAAAAAATCCCTAATCTACACAATGGTGTGCTCACCTCTATCTTAACTCAGTCTTAAAGTCAGTCCCATCTACCCTCCACAAATCAAACTTCTTTCGGGCCAGGGGCAGTGGCTCACGCCTATAATCCCAGCACTTTGGCAGGCTGAGGAGGGCAGATCACTTGAGGTCAGGAGTTCAAGACCAGTCTGGCCAACATAGTGAAACCCTATCTTTACTAAAAATATAAAAAAATTAGCTGAGCATGGTGGTGCGCATCTATAATCCCAGCTACTCAGGAGGCTGATGCAGGAGAATCGTTTGAACCTGGGAGGCAGGGGTTGCAGTGAGCCAAGACTGTGCCACTTCACGCTAGCCTGGCCGACAGAGCAAGACTGTCTCAAAAAACAAACAAAAAGCTTCTTTCACTTCTGTTTTCCAACTAAAGGCAACACCTCAAAAATATTTCTGGTTCTTCCCTCTCTCTGAATAAACAAATCCTAGAAAATTTACCATGTTTCCCATCCATTTTATTGCCGGGACCACCATTCTGATTCATGTATTTATTCATTCTAACCCAAATTATCAGAAAAGCCACTGGCTGATCTACTTATCACTCTGACTTAGCCTGTAGATTGAATGAACTGCCTCTCTGTAGCTTCTAAAGCTGAATATATGTGTACTTGATGACCCAGTAATTTCACTCGCAGAGACCCAAAAGAAATTCATACGTATGTTTACTAAAGGATGTACCAGGATGTTACAGCAGTACTATTTAAAATATATGAAATGGAATAGATAAATGAATTGTGGTGGAGTCATACAGTGTAACACACACACAAACAGAGCAAAAAGAATGATTTATGATTCAGCCAGGTGCAGTGGCTCACGCCTGTAATCCCAACACTTTGGGAGGCCAAGGCAGTTGGACCACCTGAGGTCGGGAGTTTGAGACCAGCCTGACCAACATGGAGAAACCCCATCTCTACTAAAAAAATACAAAATTAGCAGGGTGTGGAGGCACATGCCTGCAATCCCAGATATTTGAGAGGCTGAGGCAGGAGAATCGCTTGAACCCAGGAGGTGGAGGTTGCGGTGAGGTGAGATGGCGCCATTGCACCCCAGCCTGGGCAACAAAAGTGAAACCTTGTCTCAAAAAAAAGAGTGATTTATGATTCATGCAAACTATAGACAAATTTCACACACAAAATGTTGAGCAAAGGAAGTCAAATACAAGAGAGTACATACTGCAAAGTATAGACAAATTTCACACACAAAATGTTGAGCAAAGAGATACAAGAGAGTATACAAGCTCCATACTGAGCAAAACAAATCTGTGGTTTAGGAGTCCAGAATAGTGTTACCCATTAGTGGGGGTGCCTAGAAGGGACACAGGACTTCCAGGGTGGTGGTAATATTCTGCTTATTGTTCTGAGTGCTGGTCCCACAGGTGTGTTAGTTTGTGAAAATTCATCAACCTGTACATTTACATTGTTAATATAAACAAGAAATAGATAAATTCTAATAATGCTATATATATATATATACCCTTGCTAAAAAATCCTTAATGTCTGTGTAATAAGTGTAAACTTTGCTAATTTGGCACTCACAGCTCCATGTGTATATTTTCAGGCTTCTTTTGAGTCCTATGAGGCATCCTCTGAAAAATGCCCATAGTGTCTGTCCTCTGTGTCCCCTGCCCACACTGTCTGCTGCCAGGAGTGCCTCCTCCTGCCCCTATCCCCCTGCCCAGTCCTTCCTGTCTTTTCAGGGCCATCCTCTGTGCTCTCTTTCCCACGGGGCCTCCCCTGGACCTCTCAAATGAATGTGACTCCTCCCTCCCTTCAACCCCTGGAGCGTTTTGATTTTTTGAACTTGTCTTATTCACCTCTGTGTAATAGTGACTTAGATGTGTACTTTGTTCTCCTCTAAACCATCAGTTTTCTTTTTCTTTTCTTTTTTTTTTTTGAGAGTCTCACTCTGTCACCCATGCTGGAGTGCAGTGGTGCAATCTCGGCTCATTGCAACCTCCGCCTCCCAGGTTCAATGTACTCTCCTGCCTCAGCCTTCCAAGAAACTGAGATTACATGTGCCCACTACCACATCTTGCTAAGTTTTGTATTTCTAGTAGAGATGAGGTTTCACCACGTTGGTCAGGCTGGTCTCTAACTCCTGACCTCAAATGATCTCCCTGGCTCAGCCTCCTAAGTGTTGGGATTATAGGTGTAAGCCACCGTGCTCAGCCTAAACCATCAGTTTCCTGTGTGTTCTTTGAAAGATTCAATACAAGTCCACAAGTGTGCTCAATCATATTTTTTGAATTAAATTAGTTAGCTTTTTTCCAATTATTCCTCCTGGGATACTGGCTTCAAAATAACTAAAAGAGCCTAATCATTAGGAGCTTCTACCTTACATGTATAAAGTTGTTGTAAATTAAATTAAGTGTTGTTTTTTTTTTTTTTTTCCTTTATTCCATGTTGATCTCAATTTCAGGGATGATTTCTTTAAACTTTAAATTGAAGAAGAGTATAATAACTCTCCACCTCTCAATTATTTTGAATAAATCCCTGGTATCATATCTTTAATCCAGAAGTACATTACTAGATTATGTCTAAGATAAGAACCTCCTCCCCTCTTTTTTTTTTTTTTTTTTTTGAGATGGAGTCTTACTCTGTCACCTAGGCTAGAGTGCAGTGGCACAATCTCGGCTCACTGCCACCTCCACTTCCTGGGTCCAAGCAATTCTCCAGCCTTAGCCTCCTGAGAAGCTGGGATTACAGGAAACTGCCACCACATCCAGCTAAGTTTTGTTCGTTTGTTTTTTGAGACAAAGTCTCACTCTTGTCTCGCAGGCTGGAGTGCAATGGCGTGATCCTGGCTCATTACAACCTCCACCTCCTGGGTTCGAGCCATTCTTCTGTCTCCACCTCCCAAGTAGCTGGGACTATAGGCGCATGCCACCATGCCTGAATAACTTTTGTATTTCTTGTAAAGATGGAGTTCCACCATGTTCCCCAGGCTGGTCTTGAACTCCTGGGCTCAAGTGGTCCACATGCCTTGGCCTCCCGAAGTGCTGGGATTACAGGCATGAGCCAATGTGTCATTTCCTTAAAATGACTTTTAAGGAAAATTATTTTAAATCTGTTTTTCTATGTCATGGTAGGAGAAAATAAAGGGTAGAGGTTATTGGTCCTTCTTCCTATCACTGGGGTGTGATCCCTTTTGAAAAAGACTGAATTAATATAGTTCTCTCTTCACCCCAATAATATATTGAAATTTAATGTGTAATAGGAAAACTATCTGTGAGATTAATAAAAGAATTAATCTTGGCCAAGCATGGTGGCTCACTCCTGTAATCCCAGCACTTTGAGAGGCCAAGGTGAGTAGATCATCTGAGGTTGGGAGTTCAAGACCAGCCTCACCAACATGGTGAAACCCTGTCTCTACTAAAAAAATACAAAAATTGGGCCAGTCATGGTGTCTTATACCTTTAATCCCAGCATTTTAGGAGGCCAAGGCAGGCAGATCACAGGTCAGGAGATCGAGGCTGTCCTGGCTAACACAGTGAACCCCCCCGTCTCTGCTAAAAACATAAAAAAAATAGCCAGGCATGGTGGCACATGACTGTAATCCCAGCTACTCAGGAAGCTGAGGCAGGATAATCACTTGAACCTGGGAGGTGGAGGTTGTAGTGAGCTGAGACAGTGCCACTGCACTCCAGCCTGGGCAACAGAGTGAGACTCCGTCTTAAAAAAAAAATTAATTAAAAAAATAATTATTCTTTCCATTCACTCTCTTGGCAATCCCATTCTTTGTTAGAGCAACCTAGCAGCTGCCTGGGCAGCCCACAGGTCCACCTTGTAGTTTGGAGGCAAAGGAACTACAGTAGTTCTGTTATCTCACCCCTAACTCAACTGCCCAATGAATGACTGGAGCTGGTATGGAGAAGATACCAAGAAAGCAAAAGCTCAAAGTAATCTCTAGTGATAGAGAACATATTGAGTTAGTTCTCATAAGGCAGTGTCTGCTGAAGACAGTAAGCTTTAAGGACCTGAGCTGGAACAATCCAATGCTCAAAGACAAGAGCACAAAGTCAGAGAAAACCTAACTACTTCATGACAGAACGAAAGGCACTGGGTTGATAAATGTTAGTTTTATATAACACATTTTTGGTGTTTTTTACTTAAACATGTTTATTTTAAAATATCCAGTGTTCAACATTTTCAAATGAAGAATCCATTGCTTAATGGCTAATTTATTTATTTATTTATTTGTTTTTGAGATGGAATCTAATTCTGTCACCCATGCTGGAGTGCAGTGGCATGATCTTGGCTCACTGCAACCTCCATTTCCTGGGTTCAAGCAATTCTCCTGCTTCAGCCTCCTGAGTAGCTGGGATTACAGGTGCCTGCCACCATGCCCAGCTAATTTTTGTATTTTTAGTAGAGACGGGGTTTCACTGTGTTGGCCAGGCTGGTCTCGAACTCCTGACCTCATGATCCACCTACCTTGGCCTCCCAAAGTGCTGGGATTACAAGCATGAGCCACCGTGCCTGGCCTAATTTTTATTGTTTTAATGAAACTCATATTTCTTCTCTTTGATAGTTTATTTAGCAGTTTGTAGATCATAGAAAATATTTTTCAATATTAGAGATTGGAGTAAAAACTATAAAGCCCTGGATATATCCAGTGTTGAGATGGGTAGTCTCAATGCATTCAGTGCTTATGGAGTAATTTAAAGTAACAGTATAATCATCTCATTTCATACAGAAGACTATGAAAACTGATTTAAAACAAAACAGTTGCTAGAGGAGCAAGAGAGTAATTAACAGTGATACAGATCATGACAAAGAGGTCATCCAAGAGGACAATAAAATTTCAGGTCTCAGTGTGAAATTAATCATATTATAGGCACAAAGGAAATCCAGGATATTGACGATGGTCTCAGATAACATCACCTACTTTTTCGAAAACTATATAGGATGGATAATTTTGTATCTGCATGATATCTAAGAAAAGAACCACCTAATCAAATTTATATAGGACACTATTCACTAGCCTTTAGTCTTATAATAATTGTGAATATATGGAACTTTAAGAAGATACAGAATTATGTTAGATTTTTGAACTCTTACATAAACCATTATGTTAGATTTTGAATTCTTGTGAATATGGTCGTAAGCCATGACCATATTTTGTTACAAGGTCCTACCCCCTGGGGAACTGAGGACATGATAGTGTATCAGAAAGCAGGCAAGAGACTCACCCCAGTATCCAGCTGTATCCAGTGAACCTCATTGTTTGAGCTAATGCGGGACTGCTGGGTCTGTAGAGTGTATGGGAAGGAGCTGACCTGGAGCACCAGGAGGTTGAAAGCTTCCAGAACTTCTCTGCAATTAATGACTCTATCAGCTAGTCCATGACTGGGTTCGCCATGTGACAAAGAGCCTGAAATGACACTGCAGAAATATTGAAAGTCATATTAATACCTCATTTAATCAATTAGATGCAGGATCAGACACTAACATGGAGATAATTTTTTTTTTTTTTTTTTTTTTTTTTTTTTTTTTTTGAGATAGAGTCTCGCTTTGTGGTCCAGGCTGGGATGCAGTGGGCTGATCTTGGTTCACTGCAACCTCCACCTCCCAGGTTCATGCAATTCTCCTGTCTCAGTCTCCCAAGTAGCTGAGACTACGGGCACATGCCACTTTAGTAGATGGGGTTTCACCATGTTAGCCAGAATGGTCTTGATCTCCTGACCTCGTGATCTGCCCAACAAGGCCTCCCAAAGTGCTGGGATTACAGGCATGAGCCACTGCACCTGGCTGAGATAATGTTTTAGTTTCTATTTTTCTGTCTCTTTCAATTTGGAGCAGAGTAGGAACAACCATAATTTGATGTGGAAGGGAAACAAATTTACATTCCTTCTTTTCAGACAAGTTTCAGAAATAAGTTTTTTTTCCTTTTCCATTTATCCCTGATAGGCCTCAAAGTGCAAATTCAGTTATTTAGGGCAGTGATATCTAACTCTGCAGTTGGGCCAGGCATGGTGGCTCACGCCTGTAATCTCAGCACTTTGGAAGGCCAAGGTGGGCAGATCACCTGAGGTCAGGAGTTCAAGACCAGCCTGGTCAACACGGTGAAACCCTGTCTCTATTAAAAAAAAAAATACAAAAAAAAATTAACTGGGTGTGGTGGTGTGTGCTTGTGATCCTAGCTACTTGGGAGGTTGAGGCAGGAGAACTGCTTGAATCAAGAGGAGGAGGTTGCTTGTGGTGAGGAGAAATCACACCACTGTACTCCAGGTGGGCAACACAGCAAGACTCTGTCTTAATAAAAAACAAAACAAAACAAAAACCCGAATCCCCAAAAGCAACAAAAAAATTAAATACAGAGAAGTCCAGCATGTATCCTCAGAATATCACCCAAAACTTTCAAAGATTAGGCGTATGGGTTCAATGAGCTATTCCTGCTCATAGAAGACTACCAATAACTGAACAGATGTGGGGAAATTTTTTTTCTTGCTCTCTCTCCTTTCCTTTCCTTCTTTGAAATCTAACAAGTGCCGGGCGCGGTGGCTCAAGCCTGTAATCCCAGCACTTTGGGAGGCCGAGGCGGGTGGATCACGAGGTCGAGAGATCGAGATCATCCTGGTCAACATAGTGAAACCCCGTCTCTACTAAAAATACAAAAAACTAGCTGGGCGTGGTGGCGCGTGCCTGTAATCCCAGCTACTCAGGAGGCTGAGGCAGGTGAATTGCCTGAACCCAGGAGGCGGAGGTTGCGGTGAGCCGAGATCGCGCCATTGCACTCCAGCCTGAGTAACAAGAGCGAAACTCCGTCTCAAAAAAAAAAAAAAAAAAAAAAAAAAAAAAAAAAAAAAAAAGAAAAAAAAGAAATCTAACAAGTTCTACAAGATCTTATTTATAGCTTATGTATGGCTCTAAGTTTCAGATTGTGGAGTATTACTCAACACTTTCTGGCTTCTGAATAAGTACAATTCTGACATTTCCCTATCACAAACCAAAAACTTCCAGATTCCTAACCTCAGCATCTCCTGGAGAAAAGAAAATCTATAAAGGCTTGATGATGCCTGGAGTTTCTCTCCCCACTACATGGTGAGGACAAACCATGATATGTAATGCTTGATGACTATTTGCCACCACCCTGACCCTGTCCTTTCAAAAGGATTTGCTTTTTAATCCATAGGAACAAAGATGCCCCCTACTAGATAATTACTATAATTTGATCTGGGAGCAAAAGTGGCTCCACATTGATCCTTTTTTTTTTTTTTTTGATATGGAGTTTCTCTCTGTTGCCCAGGCTGGAGTGCAGTGGCAGAATCTCTGCTCACTACAACCTCCACCTCCTGGGTTCAAGTGACTCTCCTGCTTCAGCCTCCTGAGTAGCTGGGATTACAGGCATGTGCCACTATGCCTGGCTGATTTTTTGTATTTTTAGTAGAGATGGGGTTTCACAATGTTAGCTAGGCTGGTCTTGAACTCCTGACCTCATGTAATCCACCTGCCTTGGCGTCTCAAAGTGCTGGGATTACAGGTGTGACTCACTGTGCCCTGCCAACCTCTTTTTCATTAATAAGTTCATCCAGGCCGGGTGCAGTGGCTCATGCCTCTAATCCCAGCATTTTGGGAGGCCAAGGCGGGTGGATTATTAGGTCAGGAGCTCAAGATCAGCCTGGTCAAGATGGTGAAACCCTGTCTCTACTAAAAATACAAAAACTAGCTGGGCTAATTTTTAGGGGCATGGTGGCAGGCACCTGTAATCCCAGCTACTCGGGAGGCTGAGGCAGAAAATTGCTTGAACCCACGAGGCGGAGGTTGCAGTGAGCTGAGATCGCGCCACTGCACTCCAGCATGGGTGACAGAGCAAGACTCTGTCTCAAAAAAAAAAAAAAAAAAAAGTTCATCCAGTAAATATGATATTCTACTGGGAAACTGGGGAAGGTTTCAAGTCTTGAAAGTGGCATCTCTACTGCTTTTAAAGGCAAGAGGTAAGAGAGAAAGGCAAGAAAGGGGAGAAATAGTAGAAGAGAAAGGAAGAGAAGCAAAGGCTGGGCGCAGTGACTCATGCCTATAATCCCAGCACTTTGGGAGGCCAAGGTGGGAGGATCACGAGGTCAAGTGATCAAGACCATCCTGGTCAACATGATGAAACCCCATCCCTACTAAAAATACAAAAATTAGCTGGGCATGGCGGTTTGCGCCTGTAGTCCCAGTTACTCAGGAGGCTGAGGCAGGAGAATTGCTTGAACCCAGGAGGCAGAGGTTGTGGTGAGCCGAGATCATGCCATTGCACTCCAGCCTGGGTAACAAGAGTAAAACTCCATCTCAAAAAAAAAGAAAAAAAAAAAAAAAAAAAAGAAAAAGGAAGAGAAGGAAGGCAAAAAGGAAAAGTGGGGTGGAGGCAGAGAGGGAAGCATGTCTCCCTTCCAGGAGCTCATTCATCTTAACCTCCTTATTGCTGTCCTTTCTCCTGACATAGCTGAGCTCCACAAAGCTCTTAAAACAGAATTTTTTAAAAGAATCTCTAAAGTCATCCACAGTGTAGTGATATGGTTTGACTCTGTTCCCCACCTCAACCAATCTCATCTTGTAGCTCCCATAATTCCCATGTGTTGTGGAAGGGAACCACTGGGAGATGACTGAATTGTGGGGATAGGTCTTTCCCATGAGGTTCTCAGGATAGCCAGTAAGTCTCATAGGATATGACAGTATTATAAGGGGGAGTTTCCCTGCATAAGCTGGCTACAGAAATTTGCATAAGTAATGAGAAACCGAATGTTAATCCCCAAGACAATGGGGAAAATGTCTCTAGGGTATGTCAGAGGTCTTCAGTGCAGAACCTCCCATCATAGGCCTGGAGGCCTAGGATGAAAAAATGGTTTTGTGGGCCTGGTCCAGGGTCCCTGTGCTGTGTACAGCCTAGGGACTTGGTGCCCTGTGTCCCAGCTGCTTCAGCTGCAACTAAAAAGGGCCAAGGTACAGCTTGGGCTATTGCTTCGAGGGTGAAAGCCCCAAGCCTTGGCAGCTTCCATGTGGTGTTGAGCCTGTGGGTGCACAGAAGTCAAGAATTGAGGTTTGGGAACCTCTGCCTAGATTTCAGAAGATGTATGGAGGTACCTGCATACTCAAGCAAAAGTTTGCTGCAGGGACGGGCCCTCATGGAGACCCTCTGCTAGGGCAGTGAGGAAGGGAAATGTGGGGTTTGACCCCCCACCCTGAGTTTCTACTGGGGCCTGTAGCCCCTTTGTGTTAGCCAATTTCTCCCATTTGGAATGGCTGTATTTATCCACTGCCTGTATCTCCATTACATCTAGGAATAACTAACTTGCTTTTGATTTTACAGGCTCATAGGACAAAGGGACTTGCATTGACTCATGAGACTTTGGACTTGGACTTCTGGGTTAGTGCTGAAATGAGTTGAGACTTTGGGGGACTGTTGGGAAGGTATGATTGGTTTTGAAATGCGGAGATTTGGGAGGGGCCAGGGTTGGAAAGATATGGTTTGGCTCTATATCCCCACCCAAATCTCACCTTGTAGCTCCCATAATTCCTATGTATCGTGGGAGAGACCCAGTGGGAGGTGACTGAATTATAGGGGCAGGCCTTTCCCATACTGTTCTTGTGATAGCAAGTCTCATGAGATCTGATAGTATTATCAGGGGGAGCTCCCCTGCACAAGCTCTCTTTGCCTGCCACCATCCATGTAAGATGTGACTCGATCCTCCTTGCCTTATGCTATGATTGTGAGGCTTCCCTAGCGATGCGGAACTGTGGGTCCAATTAAACCTTTTTCTTTTGTAAATTGCCGAGTCTCAGGTATGTATCAGCAGCATGAAAGTGGACTAATACATGTAGTTAACATAAAACCAACATGAAATCAATGAGAAAAGTTAAGTAAGCAAGAAAAGGGCAGGAAAAAGTCACCAGTAAGAACATGACAAGCATTAGGGTCCCTGGGCTTTGGAATCACCTTTAACACTTTTTTTTTTTTTTTTTTTTTTTTTGAGATGAAGTCTCGCTCTGTCAGCCAGGCTGGAGTGCAATGGTAAGATCTTGGCTCACTGCAGCCTCTGGCTCCTGGGTTCAGGTGATCCTCCTACCTCAGCCTCCCAAGTAGCTGGGGTTACAGGCATGCACTATCAGGCCCAGCTAATTTTTGTATTTTTAGTAAAGATGAGGTTTTACCATGTTGGCCAGGCTGTTCTCTGGGTCCTGACCTCAAGTGATCCACACATCTCAGCCTCCCAAAGTGTTGGAGTTACAGGTGTAAGCCACCACACCCAGAAACCATTAACATATTTCATTAGGTAACAATTACTGCTGTAGAAGGGAGACTGCATTTGCTCACTCTGAAGCAATCACCTTGTTAGTTCCACATGGGAGTTGTCATGAACTAGCACAAACAGTGTGTACGGGTTCTGTTTCACTCTCCTCATAAAAACTTCAAACTTGGTTTGAATCTCATTGTCTAGACGAACAACATATTTTTCTGCTCTCTGGTGGGCTGTCCCATTTTCTTCCAGACCCAAGTCTACAAGGACACCTGCCAAGAAGAAAAAAGTTCATCTTTTAATACACTTTTACACAAACACACAGAGGAGACAGACTTGAGTTCATTGTCAGCTGATACTGGGTATCATATGTATGAAGAGATTTATAGAGCAGGTATTTTTTCTTTTTTATGTTCCCCATTACAGTTTTGAGGAGGAAATATCAGATATTTTTTTCTTTGTAACCTGCCTGCCACCTCCCATACCTAACACAAATACAGGGAACGTTCTGGATGAGATAAAAGCAGCTGAGTGTATAAGACCTTTGCTTCATTAAATTCTATTTGCATATAAAGTGCTGCTGCTAATGGCTTCAACAGGCCACCTGGAAAAAAATAAGCTTTAGGCTACAGCTCTTGACAAAATTAATATAAGCCTTCTTTATCCTAAATTTAGCAACAAACCATATACAAGAAAATATATATATATATAATGTCCAAAGATACCACATTAGACTGTGAGCTTTTTACAGTGGTGTTTTACTCATTTTTATACAGTGACCGTCTTGCACAGTATCTAGAGCACTGGCAGTCCTCAATAAATGCTGGATTTATGTACCAAATTAATAAACTGAACTGAATTAGTCATGATTGCTATATTCTCAAAATGTTAGAAACTATGAAACTTTAATGCTGTATCATTACCTCTGTCTATAATAAAATTATTTCTACACACATCTAAAGTAGTTCTAGGCATATAAAGCTGTTGTTGAGATAACTGATTAAAAGAGCAAATCTTCCTTTAAATGAAGAGACTTTTAAGATTTATATTGACTTAATGTTATCTATCTTTTCTTTTAGTAAAAATGCAGCTCAGTGAACAACTACATGCAATTAGCATCTAGATGCTATAATACTTACAGCCCTAAATGATATTAAAAAGAAAGTTTTACCATATGAAAAATTCTTTATACCAGAAAAGGTGGACTGAACGGTAATTTTGCTTTCAAACACTGTTCATTAGGAGCCTTTACTCAAGGATTGTTTTCAATTCCAACCCAAATGTAGTCAAATTTTGTTATGAATATTTCCAAAGGCAATCAATCAAACATTTAATTTGGCAGGTACAAAAAAAATTACAATTTTTTTGAAAGTGGACTGTGGCCCGGTGTGGTGGCTCACACCTGTAATTCCAGCACTTTGGAAGGCTAAAATGGGTGGATCACTTGAGGCCAGGAGTTCCAGACCAGCTGGGGTAACACAGTGAGACCTCATCTTCATAAAAAATACAAAAATTAGGCAGGTGTGGTGGTACACACCTGTAGTCCCAGCTACTCAGAAGGCTGAGGCAGGAGAATCACTTGAACCTGGGAGGCAGAGGTTGCAGTATGCAGAGATCACACCACTGCACTCCAGCCTAGGCAATAAAGTATGACTCTGTTTCAAAAAAAAAAGAAAGGAAAAAACTCATTCAGCATTCGATAGCTATTTATTGATCATCTACTATGTTATGTCAGGTACTGTGTTAGGCCTGGAGATACAGAGGAGAACAGGACAAAGATCTAAATCTCATGAAGCTTACGATGGAGAAGACAGAACATTTTGATGAGTGTCATGATGGAGACAAGGTACTATGGGGTAGGCAGAGGAAGCCAGTAGAAGCATTAGAGAAAGGACCTACTTAATCTCTAAAGTGTCTGTTTCCTTATCTGTAAAATGGGAAGTGTAGTATCAGTTGTAAATTAGTCTGTATTTCCTGTTTATCCTTAGGAAATAAGCAGTGTGAGTTAAGGCATCCTAAAAAGAAAAGATCATAAATAATTCATAGAGTGGATAAAATACACCACATGGTTAGTTAAGACTTTGCTGCCTTTCAAAATAAATGAAATCAAAATCGATTGTGGCTTTTTGGGTAAGATGAAGTATAAAGATTACTGTATGTCTTTGACAGGTCAATTCCATACATTCCCTTACTGGGGAAAAAAAAAAAAGTTCCAGCAATCTAAGAGGTTGTTTTCTTGGATATAACATGATATCTTAGCCCGTAACTATACAGGCTGCTGGCCCCGTGCTGAGAAGGCACATCGGAGCTACTTGTTTTATTTCTAATTGGGCATTTTTAGTAGATCATCCTTATTTTTAAATTGTGTTTTAGACTTGTTTTATTTATTTATTTGTTTGAGATAGAGTCTCGCTCTTGTTGCTCAGGCTGGAGTTGCAATGGCACGATCTGGGCTCACTGCAACTTCTGCCTCCCAAGTTCAAGTGATTCTCATGCCCCACCTCCTGAGTACAGGCACCTGCCACCACACGTGGCTTTTTTTTTTTTTTTTTTTTTTTTTTTTTAGTAGTAACGGGGTTTCACCATGTTGGCCAGGCTGGTCTTAAACTCCTGACCTCAGGTGATCCACCTGCCTCTGCCTCCTAAAGTGCTGAGATTACAGGTGTGAGCCACTGCACCTGGCTGCTTTTATTTTTAAGTTTGTTTTTTTTTTTCCTAGTAATGAAAGTGATAGATACTCATTTTGGAAAAACTGGAAAGTACAGAGATACATTTAAAAGGAAAAATTTATCCATTAATCTTTAATTCACTGCTTATATTTTTCTGCTTTCTTTCCTGTTTTTCTATGCACATTATGCAGCCTGACTCACATTTTGTAATTGTATATCCTTATATCTATCTATCTATCCTCTATTGCTTATAACTAGAAAGAAGCAAAACAAGTAAAAACAAAACTATCATGTTTACTAATAATATGTCTGTGTAGAAAACAAAATACGGATGAATCTATTAATAAGAATTTAGAGCTGGGCACGGTGGCTCACGCCTGTAATCCTAGCACTTTGGGAGGCAGGCGAATCACCTGAGGTAAGGAGTTCAAGACCAGCCTGACCAACGTGGTGAAACCTCGTCTTAAAAAAAAAAAAAAAGAATTTAGTTGATGGATTCAAAATCAATTTACAAAGATCAGCTGCATTTCTGTACACAAGCAGTAGTTAGGAAGTGCATTTAAAAAAAAAACACCTTTACAATAAGTTCAAAAAACATTATGTATCTAGGAATAAATCTTACAAAATATATGTAAGACCTTTATGGAGAAAATGATGAAACTATTAATGATGTTAAAAATGACCTAAATAGAGCTACATCATAAATTTAAAGAGACAGAGTCTTATTCTATCACCCAGGCTGGTGTACAGTAGTGCGATCACACCTCACTGTGGCCTAGAGATACTGGGCTCAAGCTATCCTCCTGCCTCAGCATCTTGAGTAGCTGGGCCTGCAGGCATGTGCCACCATGCTTGGCTAAGTTTTTTTCTTTTCTTTTTTTTGATAGAAATGCTGGTCTCAAACTCCCGGCCTCAGGCAATCCTCCAGCTTTGACCTCTCAAAGCACTGGGGTAACAAGCATGATCCTCAACCAACAAGTTTGTTTTTTTTTTTTTACTTGAAAAATTGTTTTTAAAATTTATATTGCAGAGCAAAGGACCAAAAAAGAGTCAAGATAGTTCTGAAGTAGAAAACACAGGAGAGGTTTGTCTCACTAGAGATTAAGAATTAGAGCTTTGTTAATAAGACAGTGGTTTGGGCATAGAGGTTTAAGTTAGTAATTGTGTAATTACCAGAAAAAAAAATCAAATAAGTGAATATATTGTAGATAATGAGAACTAGGCTTCTTTCTGTCAGAGAAAAAAGTTACAAATAACTCATATTTTTAAAAATAGGTAGATAGAGAAATGAAGAGGTACATGTGTGCATTCATGGGTTAATATACATACATATAATTTCTTAGCTCTGTCTGCTGAGTGGGCCTATGCGCAGTGACATCTTAGTAGCAATGGGCACACTTAATGCTCAAATTTTGATTTTTAAATACCATTCTTCAATACAAGAAATCAGGTTTCTTGGAAAAAAGGTTAATCCCAATGTTGAGGCAGAAAAATAAAAAGTAACCCTGGAATGTCTTATAATTTCAGAAAGTAAGAAAACGGTACGTGAAAATGGATGATAATATGTTAAAAAAAAAAAAAAAAGAAAGAAAGAAACACAAGAACCTGCCTGAAGGAACCTCCAATGGCCAATGACGGAAAATTTGAGCAAAATCATCATCATCATCATCATAGTGTTGGAAGTAACCCATAGAATAAAATAAAAATGAACTATATTTATAAATACATACACAAATGAGGAGAAACAGCTTTTCCTTACAGAATTTAATTAACAAATTCTTACTAGTAAATGTAGGGGAAAAAATGACAGAAAATCATCATTTTCCAAATACCACAATAAATTGCAGGAAAGATCCATTAATGGATGCAAAAATTGGTGGTTGAAAGTTTGATGAAAACAGGATATTACACTAGCTCAAAATATTTCCACAAGATTTTAAATCAATTCCAAAGAGAAAGCTAGTAACTTTACAATGCAGAAACCTGGCAGACATACCTTAATCAAGTGATCAAGGTTAACATCACCAATAATAAAACATCAACCTTATGTACTCCCTGACATGATGCAATGAGGACACAGTATCACCTTTGTGGTTTTCTTGCCAAAAACTCAAAACCTCAATTTAATTGTGAGAAAACTCAAATATTCCCTACACAAAACAATTGACTAGTATTCACTTAACATCATGAAAAGCCAGGAAAGACTGAAGAAATGTCACAGATTGGAGGAGATGAGAAGGACATAACTGAATGCAATGTGTGATCCTGGATTGGAACCTGGAACAGGAAAAACAACATTAAGAGAAAGACTGATGAGATCTTTGGTTAACAGTATTATTCTGGCATTGATTTCCTGCTCTGATAATTGTAATATACTTAGGTAAGTTGCTAACTTTAAGAGAAACTGAATGAAGGTTTAGTGAACTCTCTATTTTAACAGCTTTAGTGATATAAGTATGTATTCACATATAATATACCCATTTATAGTGTATAATTCAATGGCTTTTAGGATATATTCACAGAGTTGGACAACAGTCACCATAATTTTAAAACATTTTCATCAACTCCTAAGAAAACTCCATAAATTTAACCCCTCAATTCTT